CATGTATTCATCAATTTTTGTAGTTCTTCTCTGTGTCCCTTTTGCACTAATCAGGGCACTTTACTCAAACTGACATAGCCATGTAAGGGCATAAGGGGAATTGTCATCTGAATTGATAACAACCAGTGGTGTCCGTCAGGGATGTCCACTTTCCCCATTCCTGTTTAACTTCATCATAGATATGTTAATGTAAGAATCCTTAACTGAACTTAAAGACTTAAGAATCGACTTGTTTCCAGGGAATAGTCCTATGGACTTAGAATACGCAGACGACATAGTCCTGTTAGGGGAGGACGCTGACAAAATGCAGAGTCTTCTGAACACCTTGAGCAGCAATCTTCGTATGTTTGGCATGCGATTCGCCCCTGTGAAATGTAAGATGCTGCTACAGGACTGGACTACGTCAACTCCGAGCTTAGTGATAGGGAGTGAAGTGATAGAACATGTTGACCACTTCACCTATTTGGGAAGTTGTATCAGCACCAACGGATTGATTGGCGACGAAATCTCAGCACGGATCCAAAAAGCTCGGGCTGCTTTCGCTAACTTGCACCATCTCTGGAGTAGGCGTGACATCCGGTTATCAACCAAGGGACGTGTGTACGGTTCAGCAATTCGCTCCGTCCTTCTCTATGGCTCTGAAACATGGCCAATACGAGTTAAAGACATGAAAAGGTTGACTGTTTTTGATCATAGATGTCCACGATATCTTTCTCACGTTAGGTGGTATAATAAGGTAAGTAATGTTGACGGTAGGCGTAGAGTGTTTGGCAAAGAGGGGAAATCAATCGACGAGGCCATAAAGTTACATAGATTGAGATGGCGAGGTCACGTGCTGCGCATGCCTAACCATCGCCTCCCCCACCCCGACGGGCATTACTAGCTGATATAGGTGCAGGTTGGAAAAGAGTAAGTGGTGGCCAAACAAAAACATGGCTTCAATCCATGAAATCCCTGACAGTTAAACTGAGTCAGGTAGGGAGATGCAGACTTCCTGACTGGTTGCGGCCCGCCCTCGGGACTCTAAGAATCAATGGCTGGAGACAATAGGTGACATGGCTCAGAATCGTTGTCAATGGCTTACGCAGATGTATTCAGTCTCTGTAATCTTGCATATTCCTTTCTACCATTACTCATTCTGTTTCACTCTTATACCTGTCAAAACTCTATTGATTCTCTTCACTCATCTTCTTGTCTACCTTTGTGTGGTATTTGGAACGTGGCAGTTCGAACTGCTGCACTTGGGTGCCAAGTTCTATGGTGAATCCAGACAGAGACAAAGTGTCCCTTTTGTGAGGATACTTATACAGTTGTACCTGATATCTTTACATTGGTAATACGAATCTACTAGACTGGATTTATGGTGTTCTCTATTCCACGTTGGAGGATGCAACTAGATCGTTATCCTGATTATATAAGTTTTCGAAGTCAGTATCTGCGTCTATAGGGTTGATTCGTTTGCGTCTATCACAAAATCGTGAACCTGGAGAAGGCAGAACCTGATGACGAATTTATCGAAAAGAATATTTTCTTGATTTGCTTGTATTCTCTGAGATGGTTGGCAGAATTGTGAAGCTTTTATATTGTCCGTCTAGGCAACATCATCAATTTATTTGAATTCTCCATTGGATGTGTCTCCTGACAGCCATTGTTGTGACTGGTTGTTTATTTCGAACGTCTCTATTGATCACATTTTTATTGAAATTGAAATTTGAACATTTCTGTCATGTGATTTATTTTCTATTAGTTGGTAAATTTTATCGGTAGTATTATGTTTGTTAATCGCTGATTTATCTGAGTACCAGACATCTAGAAATTCAGTGGCATGTTTGATGTTTCCTCCACTTAAAATTTAAACATTTTTGATGAAATACTTCTTGAAGACAGTTAACAGATATTTCTCTTCTATTCTCTTCAGGAATTGTGTGATACAGGGTGTTTGAACTCTTTTAAACAATGTCTGCACACAGTTTATTTTCTGAATAATTGGATGGTTATTATTATTGTTATTATTATAGTTGAGTATTTGATCTGTATGGTTCTGACATGTCCCGACAAAGGTGCTGGCATTGTCCTGATGGATCGCCAAGACTACATCGATAAAATGTTATCAGTCTTGTCAGATGAAAACAAATTTTCAAAAGAAAGTATCCAGAAAGATCAAACGGAACAAATTGAAGGAAAGCTAACACAAATGCTGAAGAAGATGAAGAATGAATCGATTATCAGCTCTGAATTATTCGAGCAAATACGACCCTCCGATTCCGTGATTCCCCGTTTATATGGTCTGCCAAAAGTGCAAAAAGAGAACGTGCCACTACGTCCAATCTTGGACATGATAGATTCTCCATATCATGCTACTGCCAAATGGCTCGCAGATATCCTCCTACCTATCAGAAACAACCTTTGCAAGCATAGTGTTTCTGATTCGTTTGAATTCGTCGACTCAATAAATGATGCTAATGTATCTGGGAAGAAAATGATATCCATGGATGTCACTTCGCTTTTCACCAACGCTCCCCTCACTGAAACTATATGCTTTATATGCAAATTCATTGAGGATAATAATGTAGACGAATGTGTGTCGGGGGTATAGCGGTTAGGACGCTTGCCAACCATGCACGTGGTCCGGGGTTCGATCACCGGCCGACGCACTACTTTACCTCGCTAAGCCAGAAATAATGCTGGTGAAGAGGAAAGGTTGAGCATGAGGCTAGCAACCCCATCCTGTAAAATAAACACTGCTACAGATACTTCGAGCCACTAGCTTGAAGCCCTATGTTCCACTGGGGAACGTGAAAGAAAAAAAATGTGTTCCGGTCCACTACTTAAAGGAACTACTATTGAGGTGCACTCTAAATGTCCAGTTCAAGTTCAACAACACGATTTATAAACAAAGAGATGGAGTGGCAACGGAGTCACCATTAGGTCCTTTACTTGCAGACTGCTTCTTGGCTAGTTTGGAGAATAGTATTTCACGGCCTACTATCGACAGTTTCCATCTGTACCAAAGATACATGGATGATACTTTCATCATATATGACGACAATACTGACATCGAATTGATAACTAAAGAGTTCAACAGCTGCCATCATGCCATCAAGTTCACGTCAGAATCAGAGATTAACTCGGAATTCCATTTTTTATATGTTTTTCTAAGGAGGAGGTCTGATGGTTCTCTTCAAAGACCGATCTACAGGAAACCAACATGGAATGGTCAGTACACAAACTTCCATAGCTGGGTCCCTTTGAGAAGAAAGAGAAATCTGATCCATTCCTTAACCTCAAGAATAAGGAGGATATGTTCAAGTGATGCAACCGTCGGGGAACTGGAGCGACTCAGACAAGTCCTCATAGAGAATGGATATCCTCCAAGATTTATCGAGAAAAACATGAAGTTAAGGGATAATCCTGAAAGAATCAAGACAGTGCTAAAAAACTGCTATTTATGAGTGTCGAATTTAAAGGTGATACTGCAGATGAGATCCTGAAGAAGCGCTTATGCAGATCACTGGGGAAAGCCTTCTTTATGGCTGAGCTACGTATCAATTTCTACAGCCGACAAATGACCAACGGATGTGTGAAGGATAAACTGCCGCTTTGGGCCACATCAATGTGTGTTTATAAATTCACCTGCTCATGTGGAGCTAGTTATATTGGCCGCACAAAGCGAACGCTTTCTAAACGCATATCTGAACATTATCCGGCATGGTTAGCAAAGGGACAATGTAAGACAATTAGTAGCTCAATTGTTGAGCAATTGGTGAACTCAGGCCGCAAAGCTCCACCGGAGTCGTCTTTCAAGATCATCTACAAAGTGAAGCCAAATGGTACAAAGGGCATCAGGTTCCGGCTTTTGTGTATGGCGGAGGCACTGGCAATTCATCAATACAACCCTGAACTCTGAATACAGAAAAGGTTTGTCCAGTCTCTTATTCTACCTTGGTCTTAACCTCTTCACTAATCGTTCCGTGTTTTAAAAAAATTTGATTTTTTTCTTTTCCTCTTTTGTAATTTTTAATCTTACTTTTAGTTTGCTTTTACTATAATAATTAATTCACTATTATCACTCTAATATGCTCCTTTTGTGTATTTTCGCACCCTCTTCACACTTGTTAAATTAACACTCAAATACCTTTATTCTGACTCAATAGCAATTTTAACCTTATCAAATTTCTATCTTTGTTCCGTTGAGTACCACGTAATTTACAACTTTAAATTTTCACTTCTAAAGCCATTTCTGAGTAATTATATCAATTATGTAACCCCCTATTACTCAATAATAGACCACTTTATATTTTTGTAAGTATAAATATGACTGTACAGCCAGCTTGTGAAGATGATTTCGTCGATAAAGTAAATTTTCTTCGCTGAATCTGTCTTTTATTTTCTTCATGACTCAGTGGGTATTTTCGGTGATCTGTATGCGTTGATTTTCTGTATTCTTGTGTTTCTAAATTTCCTGTGTGTTAATTCTCTTGATTAAGACATCCAAGAATGGGATTTTGTTGTTTAATTCTCCTTCTCTATTAAGTTTAATATCTTCAAATATTTTGTTGACTAATTTGTGAGTTCATTCCAAATAATTTCTTTTAACTATTATTAATATGTCGGCAACATAACGTACTCAGATTTTTGGTTTAATTATAGTTAGGGCTATTAATTCTAATCTCTACGTAATGGCTTCAGCAATCAGTCGTAATATAGACGATCCCATTGATGTGCCTTTCATCTATTTGTATATCCAATTATTCAACTGCAAATGCGTTGTAGCACGTAGTTCTGTGAGTTGTCTAGAAGGACGGCGAAAGCTCTGCATTGAAATCAACCAGCTGAGAGAGAATACAACTTGATCAAAATCATCCACCTTAGCTAAAATTATTCTTTTTGCTAATTCAAGAATATTTTCTGTCTATCCATCAATCCTCTGAACAAATTCATCATCTTTTATCTTGATAAAGTTACTTATTTTCTTTTTTTCTTTTGTTCTACATATATAGGTGCAGGGAATGGAATTGGTCGTGAAATGTGTCTACAATTTGCTAAGCATTGTTCAAATATACTAGCGTTGGATGTGGACGAAAAAGGTCTTGAGGAAACTGCTGTTTATGTGAAAAGTAGAAGAGGTGTACAAATTAAACCATACCTATGTGATTTAAGGTAAATCGATACTTTTTAGTAATCTAATAATTTTAACATCTTATTATTTTAACACTGATAGAAGGATATTCGCAGAGAAAATTGGCTGTTTCTAACGTATTTATTATTATTATTATTATTATTATTATTATTATTATTATTATTATCAAACTGTATACTCATATTGTGGTGTGGTGTGATACAGACCGTGTGTTCCAATCAAAATATGATTCTCACATATTCCCACAGTTCAATATGGTATTAGTTTGTTTTTTTCCTTCACGTTCCCCAGTGGAACATAGGGCGTCAAGCTTATGGCTTGAAGTTTCTGTAGCAGTGTTTATTTTACAGGATGAGGTTGCTAGCCTCATGCTCAACCTTTCCTCTTCACCAGAATTATTTCTGGCTTAGCGAGGTAAAGGAGTGTGTCGGCCGGTGATCGAACCCCGGACCATGTGCATGGTCGGCGAGCGTTCTAACCACTATACCACCGACCCTATGGCATTAGTAACAGAATACTATATATATGTGAACATTCTACTTCATTTCGTTTCATGTAAACTAAAATCACACGCTCAGTGATTGGTTAACGAATATGAATTAATATCAGTAAAATGTTTGAGCATTGTGGATTAGATCAAATAAAGCATAATTATATTTCAATAGTTTACACACAATGATAAGTTTTGTTATTGGTAATATATTTATAAAAGATAATATAAAAAAGACAAAAAGGAGGTTAAAAACGGACAATAACAAGATGGAAGAATGCAAAAAACAGTCACAATACCATTTAAAAATGGCACATCAGAGGCAAATCAAAGAAACGTCAAAAAAATATCGGCATTCGCACAACTTTAAAACCACTAAATCTAATCAAAAATAAAATAAATCAACTGAAAGATCCCATAAAAATGATGGATAGAAACAACTTGATTTACAAAATATCTTGTGCTGACTGTCCGACTAAATATGTGGGGCAAACGTCCAGATCACTAAAAATAAGAGTGAATGAACATAAACGCCTGACTAAAGGTCAACCAACAGGAACATAAGCCTACAAGAATCTTGAAAAAAATTCGTCGATAGCTGCACATGCATGGGAAAAAAACCACAATATCTATTGGAACAATGTGTGTATTCTAAAAAAAACTAACATGAACAAATGGAAAGAAAGACTGTATACAATCTGACCTATATTGTAATTATTCATGCCTTCATGCATTATATAAAAACTGTGTATGACAAGTACCTGTGTGATCAGAATGTCCGAAATGTGTTACATTGCACGTTTCAGATAAACTACGTCTTCTTATTGTGTTGTAGAAAGACTTATAACAGAATCGATATTCATTAAGGTCACACCGGATACATGTAACAAGGGTGACTCAGTACAACTACCAACAACTTGGAATATAATTCTGGATACAAAAACATAAACTAACGTGGAATATAATTCAAATACAAAAAAACATGAATAAGCAAAAATAATGAACTATATATATGCGTACAAATCATAAATTTGTGAATCAAACAATTCCAACAGTGGTGTGAACACGGGCAGTAATTTTGCTCGAAATATTACCAATAACAAAACTTATCATTGTGTGTAAACTATTGAAAAATAATTATGCTTTATTTAACGAAAATGAACTTTATATATATATATATATATATATATATATATATATATATATATATAAGCAGCGGTTTGATTGATGAAAAATATACCTTGGTTTCCGTGTCTTGCCTTCTGCTGCTGCGATATGAAATTTTTCATGTTCCAGGCTATGAGCCACACTTACTTACTGTTTGAGGGCTGGTGATACTACTCAGCTGTCCATGCTGAAGTAGATAGAAAAGGAATCGAACTCAAAAGTCTACTGTCTACTCCAGTGAACCACGTCTTCAATACTTTTTTTGGCAACTCTAAAGAATAGTAGCCCAAACCGAAACTACCTAGTGAACGGACAAATGACCTTGACAAGGACAACTTCGACCAATCAGAAGGCTTAAAATATTGGCCCATAATTGTAATAAATCGTTTATATAAAAGTAATGCAATGTTAAAAAATAGTTACAAAAGACAATGTTCGCGTATAAGTTGCAGAAAAACCTTCCAGTTTCTCATAGGAGTCTTGATACTCATGTTAAACCAAGTCCTGTAGATAAACTCATCGAGATAACTGTAAATAATTGCATTTCTTGATCCATTCACAGATCTGATACGTTTTTTAGGTGACTCCAGAAACTTTCGATGGAATTAGTGTGAGTTCCATCAAAAGGATTGAGAAAACCATTTGTATGGTTGACCACTTGATGAATATAGCCCAGATTCGATAACTGACTGTAACTACTCCATTCATCTGTATGAATAGTCGTCCCAGGCAGCACTAAGTGCTCGATTATGGGCAATAATACACCTGTCCTGCGATTAGGGATCGCCCTAATATATCCTCTCTGGAGGCTGGTGTCATATGTCCCCAATACCTATTTCTGATTCACACTCAATCTCCCTCGATTATATTTTCTTTTTATGAAAAGTACCTAAGGAATCTGTGAATTAAAAACGAACGACATACGTACTCGAACTGATTTACTGGTTCGGCACTCATTTCACCAACAAACAAACCCATCGATGCACCTATTGTATCTTTGCATAAGAATGACACCTCCACAATGGCAATTTTCCGACATTCCTATCAGTCCGTTCTCCAAACAGTAATCAAAAACAAGATCTCGAGCGAATTTGCAACGCAAAAGGTGTAAAGCACCCATAAATACGTCTGGAAAATATGGAGTCACCTGATTGATTGTTCAAGGTCATTTATCCGTTTCCTAGGTAGTTTCGGTTTGGGCTGCTATTCTTTAGAGTTGCCTTTTTTTGATACCTGTAACCCTTGTGAAAGTGTAAATAATGAATGTCTTTAAAGTTACAAATATCATCACTCAATTACAATTAATTTATTTGTAGTCGTGATTCTAATTAAGAACATTGAATGATTATAAGGCAGATTATGTAATGTGTAAAATATTTCATAGGGTGTATTAATCTCGGAAAGGTGCTTTCACAATTATTAAGATTACCAGAACTAAAGAACATTTCTTGTTGTGGTGAAAAACAGTTTGGTTGAAACAGAATGTTTTTTGTCTCAGAACTTGAATGACTCTGGAAGTTGTTTAAATTTGAAGTAAATTTATCGCTAAGTTGGATGTTTTTGAGGTTTGTGTCCTCCCTAAGCTTGGTTAGCTTATAAATGTAACGCTGTTGTTGCCAAGGGAACAAACAATAATTATTAAAATATCAACATTATTCTGGAAATTATGCTCACACACAATACAGAATTCTTCTCTTAATTTCGAATACTCAGTTATTACAGCAACAACACAGTGACTCACAATTTAAACTGTGTGCAGACATTGTTTAAAAGAGTTCAAACACCTTGCAGCATGTCAGCGCTGAAGAGAAGAGAACAGAAATATTTATTTTCAGTATAGAATCTCCAAGTAAAATATGCATCGACAGTAGTCATCGTATGACACAGCATCGTTCCATCTGAAACATGACTCGACTTTCCATAACATTTTTTTCTTTATTTTCTTTTTGAAGTACACTACACATTGACAAGTTGGAAGTCAATTCAAAGTTTGCGGTTTGAGTTCATGTTGGAATCCAAAGACACCATTGGAGGCTTAAAACAACAAGAATCACAGAAAAGTAGAAGTATTCTTCTGAATGGGAAGTTGAGTAGCCGAGTGCTGTAAGAAGGCTGCCAGTGAAGCCTTTACACTTAAAGCATAGACCACATGGAATACAAAAATTCACATTTGTCCAGACTGAAGGCAACAATAATTCGTTGTTATTATTCCTTTTGGTCCCAAGTGAAGCATAGAGCTTCAATACCAAATCTCCATTTCACCCTGTTTCCTGCAATCGTCTTTCTCTGGATCCAAGATCGCTCGTAAGCTCTCATCTCCGCCTGCTCCTCCTCTTTCTCACATGGTCTCATTGTTGCATATGGTCACTCATTCGGGTTCTGCTCTAGTGACAGCCTGGAGCGAGATGTCTTTCGGCGGTCTCCTTGATGTGTATCTGATAACTGTTGGTCAATAGATTCTTGTTTGGTTCGTCTCTTGTTGCTAATCCTTCTTGGCCAGCCATCTGACCTTCAGTATAAACCGAAGTATGCAGTTGTGGATAAAATTCTGCAGTAGCCTTTTGGAACCCTTTTGGAACACGTCAAGTCTCTGACATTGGTGGTGAAAGTCCAAATATTGTTCTTTACGCTGAGTGCAGTAGATTTCGGCAATGGTTTCAGATCAATGAAGGTCATATTCCTGTTTTCATGTCCCCACTTTTCGTATCGCCATCCGTGTCACCTGTATTTACAACATTGCTACCTATTCAAATGGAAGAAGTGACTTTCTGTAGACTTTTACCGCTGATGGTGATTGATGCTTGCTGTTGTTGCTGTTGGTTAGGTATATTCAAAGTCTCTGACTTCTCTATGTTCACTTGGAGTCCTATCTACGCTGCTCCTTCTTCCAACTTGTTGATTTTCACCTGCAAAATCTTCAAGTTTGTGTGACCTTAGACATAAATCACCATTCACGAAGTCCAGATCTTCGAGTGTCTTTCTATCGTTTCTGCCTACGCCATTCTTCCCGTGCTCCACGGTCTGTGATATGATCCATTCCACCGTGGTTAGCAACATCAAAGCTGGTAGTAGACAGTCTTGGTTTTTACACCTATCTTCACTTAAAAGGCTTTGAGTTGAGTTCTCCTCTATGAATCGCAGTAGTTGTGACAAAGGAGAGGTGAACAGACTGGTCTATAACAAAGTAAAACCATGAGTTCATCTTCATTCCTCTACACCGTCTACAATGGAAAGTCCTCCACTACCTCACTTACTTTAGCTGGTGTTCCTCAAAGTGCTGTTCTTTCTCCTTTTCTGTATTCTTTTCTCTTACATGATTTGCCCCATTCCAATGTAGCCACTTTTGTCAAGTATGCTGATGACCTCTCTGTCTCTATGTCTGTCAACTCTCAGTCAGATTGTTCCAAATTAAATAACTTTCTGTCGGAAATTAATCAGTGGTCCTCTTCAAACGGTCTTAAGCTGAATCCGTCTAAATGTCAGGTAGTAAATTTCACTTTCAGGCGAAAACGTGACCTACAACAACTAGCTAGCTCACATGGTCCCACTATTATTGACGGCATAGGGGTTGAAACTACATCTAATGTCAAGTACCTTGGACTGAGTATTTCCTCCTACCTTTCCTGGTCCTCTCACATCTTGCTAGTTACTAGAAAGATGTTTCGCTTAACGCTCTACGTTAGGAAGTTAAGGCAATCTAGTATAAAGCAGTCTTTGCTTTCTCAGTTTGTCAACTCTTGTATTCTAACCATCTCTCTTTACTGCTCCCCATTAATCTTTCCTGAGCTACTTAAGAAAGACTTTGCTTTGCTGCGTAGGGCACTAAAAGCTGTTAGAAGGGGAAGTGGGATTTCGTTAAACCAACTGGTTAACACTATTGTGGATAGACATATAATGTCATGTGGGAAACTAGCGAATACTATATTGCCAGACCCCGAGCATCCTCTCTGTACGCATCTCTCTCCTTGCATTTCATCTGGTAGAACTACAAGCAGCTATAGGAGGCTATATACGAGGACTACCAAGTAAAAAAACTCCACAATACCTTATCTGGCACAGCTGTTATGTGATGAGAAATCCGTTAGGGGTATGACACGATCAACTTACTGCGGCACTCTAACAAATAGTTCCCATTAGTTTTTGTTCTCCTTTCTTTGTTACTATTATATTGTTGCTCACATATTCTATTACACACTAATTTTATATTTCATATCCTGTGGTGCATTGTTTAAATATGTGAATGCAATGCTGTTCCTTTTTATTTCTTTTATTTATCTTTCTTCTTTTGTTGTTGCTGCTTTTTGTTTTTAAAATCTTGTAAAATTTATGAGGTAATTAGATGTAATATTGTAATGCACGCTGAAAATTTCATACCTGTACCACAAATACTGTTTGGAATAAAGCTATTATTATTATTCTCCGCCGGTTCTCATAAGACTAAAGTAAACAGAGGTACTGTACATACGTACTCTGTTTGATACACATGATCTCAGTTGTTTTAAGAAGCCGAAAATCAAGCAAAATACTGCAGGTTCATGCATGAATCATGAATAAATCATTTTCTAGATTGGTCGACTGGTAGAAATTGTTCAAATATTCCAGAACGGAACTTCTCCGTAAAGTTGCAAATTAAATTATGCCTATACATGAGACATTATCCAAACAAAAAATAATTCTTTTTGTTTTATTCTTATACAAAAAGTTCTCTAACAGACATTGACCGTACTGTCAATGAAATACTAGAAGATTATGGTCGTGTTACAATCTTGGTGAATAATGCTGCAATTATTAATTTATTGCCATTGCTGCATCTCAGTTTAGACAAATTTGATAAATGCTTTAGAGTCAATCTTTATGCGTACTTCTATGTAAGTTTATAATTTTGTAACATTTTTCTTGTTCATGGATAATCCCCATCCAGACATTAATGAAAACAAAACACGTAGATCAACGAAGAGTCTCTTTTCGGCGGCTTAACTGTACAATCGCAAATATATATATATATATATATATGTTATTCTGTATGTATGTGTACATTAAGTTTGTCAAACAAAAATACAATTGGTTATAGTTATTTTAATTAAACAGGTGAAGATTGGTAATTGGAGTTACGTAATACAAAAAATCAGTCAAGAAAATTAGGTGTTAATGAAATTAATGGGTAGTAACAAAGGTGATGAGTTGTCACAAACAGTTGTTAAAAAAGAAGTTACGTAATAATATGAATAGTTTGATGAGTGAGTTTTACTCAGGATGCACATAGGAACAAAGTAGATAATACGAAATTACGTAAGAGTTCTAAATGAATACAAGAATTATAAGTAATTAAAGAACAGGCGAAGAAACAAAATTAAGTCATCAAAATAAAAAAAAATCAAATCAAATCAAAAAAGTTGTTACCAAGACAGTAGAAGTGGTTGAGTAATTCTCTTTTGTATGCACAGCTCCGGTTTTCCTATGTGAATGGCCAGAGCTTCAGCGATACAAAGAAGACGAAACCGTATTGCTTTTGATAGGTTATTCTTGACTCTGTAGATTACTTTGAAGCAGGAGGCGTTTTTTGAGATGGAATGATCAGTGTTAACCAGGTGTTCAATTATCGCACTCCTTATTGCACCACTATTGCCTTTTCGCAACCATACTGGATAGTGTTCTTGAATCCTCTTGGACAGGGTGTGCGTCGAACGACCAATGTACCTGTCTCCACAGCAGCAGGTGAACTGATCTATACACATAGAAGTGGTCAGATGCGGGATCGTGTCCTTGAGGCTTCTGCAGATCAGTGGGCGACTGGAGAACACTATTCTTAGCGTTGCTGCAAAGAATGTTCTTCTCAGAGATGATGTGATCCTTCTCTTGAGAATATCGCTTGCTAAATCTCCCTTGAAATCCAAGTTCATGTAGAGTTTCTTTTTTGGCGCAATTAAAGTTTCGTTTCTCCGAATTCTTGGTTTGATATTTTTGTCGATGAATCTTATTGGGTATCCATTTTGGATGAAAATTTCTCTTAGAATATCTAATTCTGTTTCCAGAACGTTAGGACTACAGATGCGACGGATGCGGGTGGCAAGTTATTTAATTAAATTTCGCTTTTGTTCAATAGGTACCCAGCTATAAAAGCTTGTTAGTTGACCATTCCAAGTAGGTTCTCTATGGATCGATCTTCTTAGGCTCCCATCAGTTCTTCTCATTAGTTTCACATCAATAAACGGAATTTTTGACTCTTTTTCCATTTAAAGAGTGAGTTTTATTGCTGGATGGCAACAGTCAAATGTCTTCAGCAGTAGATTGGGGTCGTTGTTGTTGTCACAAATAATGAATATGTCATCTACATATCTTTTACACAGTCGTAAATTTTCAATGCTTGGCTTTAGTGGACCTTTCTGGAGGCTTGCGACGAAGCAATCTGATAGTAGTGGACCCAACGGAGATCCCATTGCAATACCATCTTTTTGTCTGTAGGTGGTGTTGTTGAATGTGAACTGGACGTTCATAGTGCATCTCAATATTAATTCCTTCAGATATGTTGTTGGTATTCCAATATTGAGATGGTTGTCATCCATATATTTGCATATGTACTTATATACACATATACACAAAATAACACATATATATTCATCTTGTTAACTAAGCTTGTAATTATGATGTGGTTGTGTTCACTGAGCCGGATAATTTATTTGTGAAGCTTTCATTGCCCTACTTACTAGGCAAAATCTTCAGCGCATACTTCAATTTGATGAAGTCAGCTTTTTTTAAGATTTCTCCACGAGTTTATTAGTCATCTCTCCTGGTGGGTGAGCTTGAAGGTGACTGGTTACTTTTGTGTGTTTACACACCTTCTAGGCTACTTGCATTGGAACTGATCGTTTCCTCACATACAAAAGGTCAAAGTTCAAGTCAAGGAAATGATCATTTCCAATACAAGTAGCTTAGAAGGTGTGAAAACACACAAAAGCAACCAGAGTCACATTCGAGGTCACCAGGAGAGATGACTGATAAACTCGTGGAGAAATCTAAAAGCTCACTTCAGCAAATTGAAGTATGCGCTGAAGATGTTGCCTAGTGGGGATAGGGCAATGACAATTTCGCAAATAAACTATCCAGCTCAGAGAACACATTCACATCAAAATCATCCATCTGAGCTACAAATCTTCTCCATCATATCTAACCTTGTAACTGGTCTTCAAGTCATTGAAAAGCTACATATATATACTGATTAGTCACAATGCAATAACTGGTATCTAATCCACTAGTGTTGTTGCTGACCAGTAAGGTGTGTAATGCGGCGAGCCTAGTAGATGACTAATCATAACAGATGGAAGGCTTGCAACTATGTTTTATGCTGAAAAGTTTAGTGGGAAAATCTTGGATTACAGTGATACATGTCGTGAGTTGTTCGATTTCTCGCAAGCAACATCATTTCCTTTAACGTTGTACATACGCTTTGCCGACGAGTACTGTAACGACGGAAGACAAGAAAGAGACTTGATGACAGACCTTTGTTTAGGAAAAATACATCGTATTTATACATTTTTAGATACATTAAAGTTCGGCTAAATCAGAGGGGAATAAACTGTTCTGATTAGTTTTCAATTGGCCAAAAGTTAAACGATTTCTGATGATATTAAACGGTTGGAGGCAATCGGCCACAGGAAGCCTTGGACCTAGGTTTCGTGCTAGTTGGCACTCTTCAGCAAGGCATATCTGCAACCTTGAAGGAACCCATGTCCCTTCTCAGATTCGAACCCGCGTCACCCAGTGCTGCAGTCACAGACGTTACCTCTGAGCTATTCGGGCTCGCGATTGACCTCCTGTAGGACTGTGGTGGATATTTTGATTTGACACTAGTAACTAGTGTGATGCGTCTAGTCCTCTCTTTGATGCAAACTGAATTCTATCAGTCAGGTTGTAATGTGGCCACCATTCTAGGTAGCTCGCCATCACGGTTTACATTGTTGGCAGGAAGCCGATTGCCTCCAACCATCTAATATCATCACAAACAATGTACACCGTGATGGCAAGCTACCTAGAATGGTGGCCACATTACAACCTGACTGATAGAATTCAGTCTGCACCAAAGAGAGGACTAGACGCATCACACTAGTTACTAGTGTCAAATCAAAATTAAACGATTTCTGTTATGAGGTTATTTCTTATCCACTGAGTGAAATAAATCTAGATTTGAGGAATAGACACTTCTGCCTCTAAAACCGTTGACTTAAAATGTTGATCGCACTTTTTGGCCGCTTCCTATCAATTTGTATCCGCCACAGTACCAGTAAACACGGAATTTATGTCTATGTATAACCTCTAACCATCTTTCAATAAAGCAAAACATTTTTGTCGCTAAACTGGAGGTTAATAAACGTCAGTGTGACAAGCCAGAGAACTTTTTGTGTGACTGCTCTTTATTTTGACATACTGCGTTGGTGTTCACAAGATTTAATTGGTAACCACCGAAGGTAAGAAACGTTTGGATTTCTTTCATCTCCTCCTGTGAACTGACCAGTCTTCAGCTCAGTGCCTTCTGAGGCCTAAACTAAGCACTGCAGGAGAAAAAATTCAACCTCTCTGTGTTTCTTCCTTCCTTGAAGTATTTTGTACTGTTCACCTCCTAATTGGAATATTTTTTTAGCCTGGGATGCAGGTATACTCATCTGATGAGCCCCAAAATAGCACAAAATGAGCATCCCCGTTCTCACTGCTAGTTACCATCAGTCAAAATAACTTCACACTAAACCTTAGCGTCCGTTCTAGGAGACGGCATGTTAATAAAGACTGAGCATTTCCATTGGACGACCTGACTGTATCTTTGCCTGTCAAATGTCAAAGCGACTGCTCTAAACTTAATGGCTTTCTATCAGAAATCAGCCAGTGGTCCAAGGAAAATGGTCTTACCCTAAACCCTTCCAAATGCCAAACAGTCAATTTCACCTTTAGGCATAAATCCGACCTAAACAAACTGGTTGGCTCTCACGAGGTATGCAACATCGACGGCACTGAAACAGAAAGCAAATCGGAAATTAAATACCTAGGCGTCATTCTGTCTGCTGATCTCCCCTGGTCGCCTCATATCCTAACAATTTCTAAGAAAATATTCCGTCTTACCGTCTACATCAACAAGTTAAGACATTCTGGTATAACCCAACCCTTACTCCTACAATTCGTTAATTCTCGCATTCTGCCTATTATTCTCTATTGTCCCCACTTAGTTTTCCCTGGCTACTGAAGAAAGACTATACCTTATTACGCAGGATGTTAAAGGTTGTCAGCAGGGTAAGCAACGTGCCACTTAACCAGCTTGTTAATATTCTGGTTAACAGGCACATGGACTCATGTGAAAAATGGGCCAAATCCATTTTATCTAACTCACACAACCCTCTTCACTCACAACCCTCCCCTTGCATCTCATCATGTAAAACCAGAAGCCAATATAGAAAACTATATGCTCGCACCAGCAAGTACAAAAACTCAACCATACCCTACTTAGCTCGTGTTCTGTGTGATAAAGAAAGCGTTAGGCGTGACAACTATAATTCATTAAATAGTCAGTAGAACAACTGGATCTCGTCTTTCCAACTCATATCATTTATAGGTAAAACATTTTGCTTCTTTCTTTTCCTTTTCTCTCTCTTTTTTTCGTTCTGTGCTGCTTTGTTTTTTTCTCTCGCTTACGCCAGTAAATATAAAAGCACCTACTTTTCTAACACCTTCAAACATTGTTCAACTTTGGCTTTGCTACCGGCATGCCAATATGTTGTTGTCATAGTGAACTGAGATTTCCTTAATCTATGCAGAATTTTATTTATTGATAATGTATTAACTGGATGCAATACTATAGTAAAAATGCTGAGAATTCCATTCTGTATCACAAGTACTGTTTTGGAATAAAGCAAATTATTATTATTATTATTATTATTATTATTATTAAATGATGGGAAATTCAAACATTTCAAATTTTATGAGTGTTTTAAAGCAGACACTGCACGTAGCTTTAACTTTAATAATACACAGTCATTGTACACATTCTGTTTTCCTTTTCTTATGTCCTTCTTCTTTATCTTATATAGCTGATCAAAGGATTGCTACCAGGCATGCTTGGCACATCAGTGTCATCAGACTGTTCAAATCACACGAACAATAGACCTGCACGTGGTCATATTGTATATGTATCCTCTGGTGGGGGACTACTACCAGTTCCTCGGTATACAGATTATTGTGCAACTAAAGCAGCCGGTTTATTATTATCTGAAAGTTTAGAATTAGAATTGAAAGAGATGGGTGTTGCTGATCAAATACACATCACTCGTGTTATACCACATATTGTAAGAACAAAATTAGTCGGACTTATTACAGGATCGTGAGTTACTCAGAAATTATTTTTATTATTACTATTGTTGGATTAATGAATCTTAAATAAAAGCAAATCTGATTGTTTTTCCAGCATTGGTTTGCAGGATTTGATTGAAACGACGACACTGGGGGTGGGTCGACGAGACTGTGAAATTACATCGACTGAGATGGTTAGGACATGTGTTATGTATGCCTAGTCATCGCCTTCCTCGACAATGGGCAATGTTAGCTGACATAGGGTCAGGCTGGAAAAACATGGCACCAGTCAATGAAATCTAAAACAGTTAGCCTAAGCCACGTAGGAAAGTGTAGACTTCCTGACTGGTTGGGGTCCTCGGGACGGTAAAAACCAATGGTTGGAAACAATTGGTGACATGGCTCAAAATCGTTCTCAATGGCTGGTGCAGATGCATCCACTCCTTGTGACTTATGATTTCCAATGAACCTTTTTTGTTCTTCGTTATTACTATTCCTTTGTCTCACACCTCTGTTTACTGTCTCTAATATGCATTTCTCCTACTTTCTTCTCTTTCTTTGTGTGCTACAAGGAGTGTGGAGTGTGGCGACTTGAACTGCCGCACATATGTGCAAAGTTCTATGTCGAAAACAGACAGACACTGGTGGTTGTCGACAGCGATATAAATCACAGGTTGATAGAAGGAAGAATTCATCAGCTCAGTGGCGAAGTGATCAACGAGTCCATCCTGAAACCTGGAAGCTCTGTGTTTGACTGCTGGTGGCGTGATGGGTGTAATGACTTAAGCCGACCCGTCGTAACCTGAATGCCAAGAATCGATTTTTGCATCCTGATGTATAGCTGTTTAAAACGTTCTTGAGAAACACACACAATCACAAAACACTCCAAAGGCAGTAAAAAGACAATTATTTGTGATTGGAATCTACGTGTGGTTCTCTTCAATAATAATAATAATTATTTTCTAAAGTTTTGTTTGTAAGGGTTAGTTATGTTTTTACGAGTTGATCACAGATTGATATCAGTTAGAGAACCATTGCTAATGACTTTCTACAGGATGGAGTTTCCTGGAGTTCTAGTGAGAATTCGTGACCAGTGAGATTCAACCAGATGTCACGTGTGAGGATGGATGTCCAACCGATGACATTGGTTGTGTTGCTCTAAATCACGAATTGGTAGAAGTTAGAATTCATGGACTGGCCATTGAATCCGCTCCCAGTGGATGAATGGAATACGAGCTCGCTGGCCTTGTAGCCGGGAGGTACTGAGTTCGAACCTTGGTGGTGAGTGTGTACTGCTGATGATTCTCAAACTAGTGGGATGGAACAGCTGGTTGTCCAGTACTCCAGTGCTGGTTTTCAATGGTTCTCTAACTGATATCAATCCGTGATCAACTCGTAATAATAATAATATGAAAAACTCAAAACTACCTCAACAGCGCTGTTAGACAGCCAGGCAGGGTAGTTTTCTGAGGACAAAACAAGTACAATAGAACAAAAGTGGTTGACTAGAATTCAACTGTAAGAAGTACCTCAGAATCAAGTAGAATATTCCCAACAAGGTGGGAGCGTGGTCAAAATCTCTGCCCACAATAAATCACACATCAACGCTTCCCGCGAACAGTTTCAGATTAGAACGACGACGATGCACTCAAATAAAATCACATAGTACAACGGACTATCTATGTATATATACAGAACTACAAGGAGAAGCATTAAATTTAGAGATTAAACAAGGATCAATCAAATCAACATGTGATGTGCAAACATCAAAATAATTATATGTAGTCTTGGAGGCTAACGGATAATAATCACAAAGTTGAAAACATTTATTCCCCGATACGAATTTAAAACAAGCAATAAAAGTTAATAATGTAGGATTTAATGAATTCATCAAATTCCGGTAGAACTCGTCAGCTGAATACTCTAAATACATGGATATAAATATATATACTTTTGAAATTACATTAGGAGATATAAGACTGATAAGTAAATAAACTACATTGAATTAGTGATACAGAAATGCAGGTGCGAATGTTTTCCAAGTCATGTTCAATTAGATAAGGGGAGAGAGTAAGAGAGATCAAAATTAAGATAAATTGCATTACGCTTCAATTACATCACTTAGATAAACAATTAGCCATTAGAGAATATAACAAGAATTGCAAACAGAGTAATATCCATAGTAATAGTTAAAATAACAATAATAATAATAGTGTTGAAGTGAGTTAAGATAATGCTACTGATAAATGACACTTTTAAATGAATCAAGAATAATAATGAGTGCAAAGTGCCAAAATCCTCAATAACAAAACATCTTGTGGAATACGGACATGATATCGACGCTGTCAAGTCATTCACTGTTATTGTCAGCAGACAGAGAAACAAGAAGATACTTGCAATTGCAGAGGCTTGTGCGATTCGAGTTTATAAACCAGGTCTCTATGTACAAAAGGAGATGGTCGTGACTCTGAATCTACCATGGTAATACGTTTTACTTATTATTCTACCTCTTATTATTATTCTTGATTTATTTAAAAATATCGTTTATCAGTAGGATTATCTTAACTCACTTCAACTCTATTATTATTATTATTATTGTTATTATAACCATTACTATTGATATTACTCTGTTTGCAATTCTTGTTATGTTCTCTAATGGCTAATTGTTTATCTAAGTGATGTAATTGAAGCGTAGTGCAATTTATCTTAATTTTGATCTCTCATACTCTCTCTGTCGCCTTATCTATTTATTTGAACATGACCTGGAAAACATTCGCACCTGTCTTTCTGCATGACTCATTCAATGTAGTTTGCTTACTTATCAGCCTTATGTCTCTCAATGTAATTTCAAAAGTTTATATATATCAGTGTATGTAGAGTATTCAGCTGACGAGTTCTACCGGAATTTGATGAATTCATTAAATCATCCTGCTTTATTAACCTGTATTACTTGTTTTAAAATCACAAAGTTAGTTGAAACGTCCAGTTAAGTATAAATATTATAATCAGATCATCCAGGAGGGATTTTCTAAGGAATCTTACCGTTATAATGGATACGTACAACCGAAGAGTATCAAACTGGGACGAAACATCTGTTCGAAACTTCCTGCATTTCAGTGGTTCTATAACTGTTATCAATCCATGATCCAACTTGGTATCAGGCTGGATTAATTCCATTTAAAATCTCTTTTGCACTGAGAATCGTGAATAAAACAAGAACAACGCATATGGTAGTGCTTATTTTTATTACTTTCGAGTCTCCTTTTCAACTGCTTACGACCTCTAAACATTAATAAGTTTTTGTGTGAATTACATCGTAAAATCAAGACCATGATGACGAAGGAGATCCTACAAATTGTTTGTGTACACAAAGTTCCGGCTTTATGTTATGTATTGCCAAAGCCTCTGTTATACAAAGCAAATGCACTCGTGTCCCTTTCGACAAACTTTGTCGGACTTTGTAAACTATGTTGAACGATGTGTCAGATGCTGCGTCGTGGTCAGTATCTACGATATGTTGCAATATGGATGAATTAATACCTCTACGTTCTCCCTTTACCCAGCCAAACTGGAGGTGTTGAACGTGGCGGCGGGTTATGTTTCTCGACTAACGTCCTATGTACCTAGCTCCTCAAGAGCAGCTGAACATTTAAATACAAATGGAATTAGACAATCAAGGTAACATTTCCTTGACATTAAGATGAACCAGTAGACGGCTACAGTAGGTTATTCGTAACGTGGCACCGCTAAATTCTAAGTTTAGTTGGAACACTTTTTTAACTACACTATCAATCTCTATATTCCTTCCACGTATTTTGCTATTGGCCTGGATGAAGCTTAGAGAATATCCATTCTCTGTGAAGGTTTCTTCTAGTTGTTTGAGCTCATAATCAACAATATCTTCATCACAGATTCTCCGGACGCGTACTGAAAGAGAACAGATTAGAATTTTTTTTTCTGTCTACTGGGACAAAACTGTAAAAATTGGTCAGTTGTCTTGCCCATGTCGATTTTTTGTAAACAGATCTAGGTAAAGGTGTAGTTAAAAGCATTAACAGTTCGATATTGGACCATCTGTTGCAAACCGGCCACAAAGCCAGCCAGCGTGGAAGAATCCTTCTCTATAATCTACCTAATAAATTGCCAAAATCATCGAAGCACCGCATGCTCCAAACACCAGAGGCTATTGCAACTTACCTCGAGCAACCAGTGCTCTGTGTACAAAAGAAGCAAGTCCAGGCAGCCCCTACTACTGCCCTGGCCGGTCTTCAGTAGAGACTATAAACTCATGAATTTGTAATATTATCTTTCCTAATATTTCTGACATTCAGTTTATTGTTATGTTGATGCTACTGAACTGTAATCTATCAATATTATTGATTCGATGTTATTTAAACAACATTAATGTTGTTCATAACACTAATTCTAACATTCACTATAATGTATATATAACTGTAGAGCCTGATGATGAAGTTATCGAAAAGAGTACTCTTTGTTAAGTATCCATTCTTTTGAAAACAGATATTTGCAAAGACCTATCAACTCTCCTTGTGAGTAATACATCAAGGAGAGATATTTTTTCCCTCACTTACTTTTTCTAAGGTGAACCGCATAGCAGGATGACTGTCATTGAATACATTCAGGATGTCATGCAAGTCATAGTTCTCATTGCATATAATGAATATGTCATCCATGTATCTTTTGCAGGAGTTAAGCTCCTTTATAGCATGCTTTAGAGTACCGCTCTCTGTACCAACCAAAAAGAAGTCTGCTAGCAACGAACCAAGTGGCGAACCCATAGCTACCCCATCTTTCTGTCGACATTTCGAGTACATAGAAGTATAAGCTATTTTAGGTATGATGTGGGAATATTAATATCATTAATGCAATTAAAAAATTTAAAATTGCCATACAAAGAACTTAGCCATCGATGACATTCTGGATTCAGCTCTGAAGGATGTGCGTGAAGGTGGTGTAGATCTGCTACCTGAAGATAGACTTTTCGACCTCGAGTATTCAGACGATATCGTCTTACTGTGCGATAGCATGCAGGCTGCCCAAATCGCACTTAATCAGTTGGCGATCAGTGTCTGTAAGTATGGTATGTGCTTTGCACCGTCTAAGTGCAAAGTACTGTTACAAGATTGGCAGGAGCCTGCACCTGCACTCACTCTTGCGGGTGAACCGCTTGAAGTTGTTGATAAGTTTGTGTACCTAGGTAGTTGTGTGAGTGCTGACGGAGGGGTGACCGATGAGATTTCCAACCGTATAATGAAGGCTAGGGTGGCATACATCAACTAGTGCCACCTCTGGCGCCGTCGCGACGTTAGCCTGGCTGTCTAAGGTCGGGTATACAATGCTCTGGTGCGAGCTGTCTTGCTCTACGTCTGTGAAACCTGGCCTCTCTGAGCTGAGGATGTGCAGCGACTCTGCGTGTTCGATCATCGCTGTCTCCACAGGATTGCTTGCGTTCTATGACATCATCGCGTGAGTTACTCTGAGGTTCGGCAGCGTGTGTTTGAACACAGTGGAGATCACCATTCATTGAGTGTCGTCATCTGGAAACACCAGCTCCGGTGGCTTGGACATGTGCTGCGAATGTCATCCCAGAGGCTTCCGTACAGGCCTCTGTTCGCTAGCCCTGCGACGGGATGGAAAGGCGGAGGGTTGGTCAGTCCATGACGTGGCGTCGTGGGATGAAGGATATTTGTGCTAGATTAGCATCGGTTGGTGTGTCACGACTCCCTGGTTGGGGTCCGCGAGATAGCTCGAAACGTTATCGGATATGGCCAAGAATCGTAATCAATGGCGAACGTGTTGCAATTTCCTTCTTTCTTCCCTTCCTGATGATAGTTAACGAATACTGTTTGAACTTGTTAAACATGACTGTTTCCCTTCCAGATGAAGTTCTTTATCCGTTTTCTACTTATATTTTTACTTTAAATCTGTGTTGTTTTGTTATTATTGTGTGGCGCATCTTTCTTGGTGTCATATTGTACCAATTTTTTTCTGCGTTTAAATAAATAAATAATAAAAATATACAAAGAATAGTTACCGACTTGCCTTCTTAGTGGTTCCAGGAGCTCTGTTATCCATTTTACAACATAATGATACGGTGAACCTGCCTAACAACATCATTTTGGTAGGTATGTACATAAATTTCGATTAGTGTTCCATTTGATTTTAACGCCTGATTCTTGAAACTTTCTTCACTTCTTCACTTTATTGTTGTTGTGTTTTCTAAACATAGGAAGTCTCCATTACTCCCACTGTTAGAACCAGAAGAATGTGCCAAACAGATTGTAGATGGCGTTCTTCAGAACAAATCAGTTGTTTATATTCCTCGTATTGTTCGCCTAATGGCTATCTTAAAGATGTAAGTAAATTTAACGATACCCTCGATTATTTGTTTATTATTATTATTGTTTCCTTTAATTCCTAGAGGAACATAGGGCTTCAGCGGTGCGCCTCCACTGCCTTCGGTTCTCTGCTAGAGTATTCACCTGCCTCCAAGTCTGCCCACACGTTTTCATCTCCTCTTCACATGACCTCCTCCAAGTCACCCTCGCACTGACGACCAACTCGCCGATTCCCTTCCGGGTTCCACTCGAGCAATGGCTTGTCTAGTGATATCACTTGATGCTTTGTTTCCTCAGAGTATGGCCAATCCATCTCCATTTCTTCCAGCCTATTTGTTTCACAATCATTGCCAGAGATCTCTTTTGCTGATCTTTTCTGGCCTGCCATCTGATTTTGAGTATTGAGCGAAGACAACTGTTAATGAAGGTCTGTAGTTTGTTTGATGTGCTCTTTATGACGCGCTGGCCAAGTCTCTGATCCGTACGTATAGTAGCACTGACTTCACATTGGATTTGAAAATCCGGATCTTATTTTTGATGCTGAGTGCTGTTGACCTTCACACAGGCTTCAGAGTAGTGAAAGCTTGTCTTGCTTTTACGATTCTTGCTTTGATATCCTCCTTCGTTCCGCCTGTAGTTGAGACGATGCTTCCCATGTAGGTAAAAGAGGTTGTTTCTTTCAGGTTCCTCCCATTTATGCTGATTGTTGTCTGTTGTTGTTGTTGCTGTTCATGACATACCGTGACCATTTCGCAGTGTCTTCTCCGGATGAGTTACTGCTTCATCTAGTTTCGAATCTTCATTGAAAAGGATCGTATTCCCACATGCCTAATATTTTTATATCAACTTGTTAATCAATAATGACCACATTCAGGATGACATTATCAAGTCCTACGAAGGAATGGTAACTGGCAGGATTCACACAAGTCGTATGTATAAATAGACACTCAACAACAATATAAAACTAGTTAGTTTTTAGCGCTAAATTGTAAGACAACAGCAGATAAAATCCATGGTTCACTGGATCCTGTCTAGTCGGCTAAGTGATTGATAATCTGCTCTAGTCAATAACGTTAAGCTTGTATATATTCAACCGATAATGTAGTAGTTATCAGTAAGCACTACTAAATAGTCCAAATTTAGAAGCATTGTCTAGCTTTCAATGATTATTCAATTTCAATAGTTTTGTGACGAAATATAAACTAAAATTATCTAAAATTCATACAAATCAGATGTCATTAATTACTTAGGAATAACATTACACTTGTATCTTTCAGTTTATATATATCATGTGACATGTATTCGTATCATTAAATTTGTCTAATTCCATTATGGGTAAAATTTATTTTTGATAAAGTCTCACAGTGTTTTACAGTAATATTTACTGATGACATTTCGAGCACAACTTATTGCTCACAATCATATCAAGGTGATATCATATCGCAGCCAACTTTCAAGTCATTGCTAGAAACGTTGAATCACTATGTGATTGTTCTATTTGTATATATATATATATATATTGTATTTGTATAGGCACACATTCACCTTCCTCTTTCTTTGAGATAGATACTTACGTCTTCATCTTCATATCTCCATCTGACCCGGCTTATTAGTCAGCTTTATACCGCTCCAGGTTTGCCAACGTTCTATTGTCACTGTTTCTCTTCTTCCTATCTCGTGGTTCCACACACATGCTCTAATCGATGGCCTGCCTCGCAATGCTATTCAAACCACCTCCCTGTTCTTCATCATATTTGTTGAGTGGTCGGGACGTTGTTTATTTGTTCACATAGTTTCTTTTCGCTCAATACAGTCCTGTTAATACTGATCGCTGCTTGTTGTTATTGCCTGGTTATCTGCGTTACCTCTGTCTCAGGAATGTTCACTCGAAGTGTTATCTTTGCTACTTCCTCAGGCATTCTGTCATTTTTCGTCTGCAAGTCTTCCAATTTCTGTGAAATTGAACAGAAATCATCCAGAAGGTCCGGATCTTTCTGAGTAGATACAATCGGTTCAGCAAAGGAAAAACCATTCAAATTTTCTGGTCAATAAAAACAGAAAAACATCTGAGATACGCACGCCTAATGCAAACATGTTTTGACAACTCCAAACAAAATGCTTCCTACGATAAACAACACGACAAAACATAAGCTGAAGTAAACAACATCAACTGTTGAGAAAACAAAAACAAATAAATCAGTCAGAACTCACAACGATGTAAAGTCAATTGCTTAGCTGCGTGGATTTGAAATTATTCTATTAATAGCAACATATTCATTGAGAAAATGAGTGATGGAGTGAAACGTGGATATAATTTGAGATCTGTAGTCTCCATTCTTTAGGTTGTTGTACAGCAACGGTTTTTACTGATTTTGGGCTTAGTTTTGATTTTATTTTGTTTCACTGATATCTCTTTCGAATTAAACGTCTGATGATTTATTTTATCTAGTGTTTTGTATGTTGCGAATGATTTAAGTATCCTTTTTGTTAGTGACTGTTTGTTATGTCCGTTTGTCAGGTTTCTTCTTCGGGTTAATCTTCTCTGTGTTCACCTGAGGTCCTATCTTTGCAGCTTCATCTAACATATATTGATTTTTCCCGGCTAAAGGTCTTCCAGTGAGTTGGTCACCTTTCCCCTCTTGTTTTAATTACACGACAGTTCTCAGAAGAAATCTTTTCACTTGAGAAAATGTCAGACCGATCATTTTTAGACTCTCTTTAGGCTCCGGAAATTGACCAACTGAAATTGAAAAGAATGTTTGGACTCTTATTCAACATTCTGAAATTTTGTCGTTTGATTTCATGCCTTTTTCGTGGAGCATGTTCACTTGAATAACATGTCTCTAAATAATTAATATTGTATATTTTTGAAATGTAATCCTCACGTCAGTTTATTAAATGGAGTGAATAACAATAGACTCAGTGAAATATCAGCTTAATCAGTGATTACTGGACAGCGAACATAAGTTGACATTTGAATTTATCTTAGCCAATTCCATTAGGGATAAAATATATTTTTATAAAGTTTCACAGAGTTTTGAGCACAATTTATTACTGCTCATAATAATATCATAACCTTGAAATGATAAATATATTTTCGACCTGCAGTGAAATTATACTCTACCACTGCAGTGCACAAGTTTTATTAATATCAGTAAAAAGTTTGAGCATTGTGGATTAGATCAAATAAAGTATAATTATATTTTAATGGTTTACACACAATGATAAGTTTTGTTTTTGGTAATATTTCGAGCAAAATTCACTATGGAATTAGAGAATGAAATTGGGGAACTGCCTATGTTAGATTGCAAAATACAAAGAATAACAGATGGCAGCATTAAAACAACGCTATATAGAAAAACCACACACTCTGGAAGATTCTTCGATTATCACTCAGCTCATCCACTCACGGTGAAACGAGGATTAATACAAGGTCTTGTAGATAGAATACGTAGACTTACAACAACGCCAGAGGACCAATGTAAAGAAGTAAATGTCCTATTCAAGATGCTACTCGAAAACAACTACCCAAAACAATTTATAAAAGATAATATAAAAAAGGAAAAAAAAGAGGGTAAAACCGGAGAATAACAAGATGGAAGAATGCAAACAAACAGTCACAATACCATATAAAAATGGTACATCAGAGGCAATTCAAAGAAACCTCAAAAGTATCGGCATTCACACAACTTTTAAACCGACAAATCTAATCAAAAATAAAATAAATCAACTGAAAGATCCCATAAAAAGGATGGATAAAAACAACTTGATTTATAAAATATCTTGTGCTGACTGTCAGACTAAATATGTGGGGCAAACGTCCAGATCACTAAAAATAAGAGTGAATGAACATAAACGCCTGACTAAAGGTCAACCAACAGGAACACAAGCCTACAAAAATCTTGAAAATATTCATCGATAGCACATGCATGTGACAAAAACCACAATATCGATTGGGACAATGTGTGTATTCTAAAAACTAACATGAACAAATGGAAAGAAAGACTTATAACAGAATCGATATTCATTAAGGTCACACCGGATACATGTAACAAGGGTGACTCAGTACAACTATCAACAACTTGGAATATAATTCTGGATACAAAAACATGAATGAACTTGGAATACAACTCAAATACGAAAAAAGAAATAAAATATGAATGAGCAAAAATAAAGAACTATATATATGAGTACAAATCATAAATGTGTGAATCAAACAATTCCAACAGTGATGTGAACACGGGCAGTAATTTTGCTCGAAATATTACCAATAACAAAACTTATCATTGTGTGTAAACAAGTTTTATTCTTATCTAAAATTTGTCTACTTTTCTCTTATTTCAGTCTATCACCGAACTATGCCATGTCTGTCATTAGAAATTATTTTCGAGAAAAGTTACTTTTCTCTACCAACGGAACAAAATAGAGAAGCGCTTGTGATCGGCAAGATGAAATTTAATTTTTTAAAATTTATCTTTACTGCACATTAGTGATGATTGGTTTTGTTGAACACCGTGTGAAATATGACTAGAACTGGCTTTAGCTTATTTTTTTCTTTTCAAAACTATCTTTATGATAATATATATAGTTACATCAGACGTCAGCTGGAAGCATTTTACTCAGAGTTTTTAAAGGTTTAGAATGAGTACATGATCTCTGTGTGTGTGTTATAATGAAATAAAAACTTTTCATATGGTGGATCTTTTAGGCGATCGTAATCGATCGGTCTGAAAGTAGGTTTCATCATGAATTGAGAATCACTGGCGTGGTGTTCGCCTACTGACAAGATTTATCAGTAGTTTACAGACGCCGCTGCAAAAATTGAAAACAACATTTTAAGACATTAGTTACAACAGTTTTATTATTCTCTTGGATTCCGAGTGAAACATAGGGCTCGCTTCAAAAACACATTTCCACTTTCTTCTTTTTCCTAGTATCCTCTTCAAATGGGTCCACGATTGCCTACAATCTCCCATATCTTTTCCATGTCACTCTCGAGGCGACGACCCACTCGTCATTTCTCATTCGGATTCCACTGGATTGATGGCCTGCACTGCGTGCGATTTCATTCAACGACCTCCTCAGTGGTGTATGCCTGATCCATCTCTATATTCTCCTACATATTTCTTGAGCAACCGGCTCTTGGTTGGTTTGTTCCCAGCCAGAATTTTTTTGTTACTAATTCTTTCTTGTTGGCTTGCTATTTGATCTTGGAGCCGGTGAAGCGGGCAGCTGTTGGTAAAGGTCTGCAGTAGCCTGCTGGTAATGCTTTTTGTGACGCGTAGTGCGAATTTCTGACCCGTAGAGAAGCACCAACTGACTGACTTCACACCTGTGTTCTTTATGCTGACTGACTGCAGAAGATTTCCAAACTGCTTTCAGGTTGATGAAAGTGTATCTTGCCTATCCGATTCTGGCTGGCTGACTTTGACATCTTCATCCATGTTGTCGCCTGTGGTTGAAACGATGCTTCCTAGATAAGTGAAGGAGGTAGCCACTGTCAAGTCTCTCTCGTTGATGGTGATTGGTGCTGTTTGTTGATGTAATCATAATAAGAAAGTGTTATTACATATACTTAAACTTACTTTTAACAGCATAGTTTATCAGTAGTAATACAATTTAGTTGACCTATTTACGTATACATACTAAGATATCAGTAAAACTTCTTTGTATAGTGGCTTATTAGTATACAGATCGACTGAAATTCAACCTTCGAGTCTGGTACGAAACCATTCATGAAATTAGTCGATTACCAACCCACTATAATACAAACTTTAGGAAATATACTCCATTTATTTTCTACTAAGCAGCTAAAAGAACATAGACAAGACGGAGGTTATGAAAATAACCAACCAATAACAACAACAGCAGCAGCAACATCCAGCGCCAATCACCATCAACAGAAGAGATTTGAAAGAGGTTACTTCTTTCACTTATACAGGGAGCATTGTCTCAACTACAGGAGGAACGGACGAGGATGTTAAATCGAGAATCGGGAAGGCGAGAAACACATTCATCAACTTGAAACCAATCTGGAAATCTTCGTCACTCAGCATCAACAACAAAATTCGGATTTTCAATACAAATGCCAAGTCACTTCTTTTATATGGATCAGAAACGTGGAGGGTCAAAGAATATTTCCAACAGCCTGTTGCAGACCTTTATCAACAACTAACTGTCTTCACTCTATACTGAAGATCAGATGGCTGGAAAGAATCACCAACAAGAAACTATGGGAACAAACAAAACAAGAACCAATCGCTCAACAAATATGCAGGAGAAAATGGAGATGGATTGGACACTCGCTGAGGAGGCCGCTGGGTGACATCGCGCGACAGGCGAACGCTCGAGTGGAACCCGAAAGGGAAGCGGCGAGTGGGACGTCAGTGCAAGGGTGACATGGAGGAGATCGTGTGAAGTGGAGTTGAAACAGTATGGACTAACATGGATGCAGGTGAAAAGTACAGCAGAAGACAGAAGCAGGTGGAGACGTGTAGTTGAAGCCCTATGTTGCACTAGGAACCCAAGGGAACAATAATAATAATAAAAGCAGCTAAAAAATATTACCCTAACAACAAGGCCCAACGAATCATGACTATATGGATGAGCAACTTGAGTAGTTAGTTATTCAATCTTTGAAACAAACACGCTGAAAGATGTACCAGATCAGAAAGTATTCGAAGTGATACAAATTTGCGCCAAAAACAGTTTAAATAAATCACAAAGGTAAAAATTTCACTTCGAAATAGGTAATTTTTGAATCTTATTTCTTTAGTACTCTCATTGTTCAAGAATACGCAAATAATTTGGCAAAGACATCGAGCTATAAGGTTGGAGTAATATGTTCGAAAAATGTGAATGATAATGAACTAAAGACTCCGTAAAGTACACTAACTGAGAACACTTAATCGGGGAATTGTTGTAAGAAAACACAGAACTACGAGGATAGGAAAGAAATGCATCAAATTTGTTAGCAAGAAGCCTTTGTGCCCACGATTATATCCAGTAGTAGTGGTAATTAACAAGTTAAGGAAGTCAGTTCAGGGAACTTTTATTGCTGGTGAACTGCAACTCATTTTTTTCTACACACCCATGCTGTGATAGCAAGTCAGAAAAATGTAGTTATTAGTACTGTACTACTATGCGTTTTCTTACATAAAATTAATCTCCAGAGTGATGAAACTCTGCTCTTACAATGAAAAATGAAATAAGTAGGGTTGTCTGTCAACTCAACTAGGACACTTGACAGAATGGTTAAAGGAATACTCATTAGATGTGGAGCTGCTTTTTTACGAAGTGTGGTCACTAGCCCCATGCTCAACCTTCCATCTTTTCCTGGCCTGCTACCTATCGGTAGTAATCTAGGCGGGATTTACGAGTGCATCAACTGGGAAGACAACTCAGATCACATACATAGCTGCTAAGAGTTCAACCATGTGAACACTGACTGACTACCCTCATTAATTTTGAACAAAGCAAGAACTGCAGTTTTAGCAGAATAAAGTGGTACCATCTTTTATTTCGTTGCCCTCTCGTCTGCTGCTTACAGGGCAAAGACATCAATAAATGTATCTACAAAAACACTTTTAACATACTTGCACAGAGTTCATTTTAAACAAAAATCAATCGATCAATATGTGCATACAGTAATAATATATATATATATATAAATATATAATATTAAACACTGTTCCGAACAATAATCATCATATACAATGAAAACTTTTCAGCATCTCGCATTCGGATGAAAAACATCCAGTTACCAGGGCAAAGAAAGACTGATAACCGCTTCTTTCTGGACGCATAAATCAGGTTTCAGGCGCCTGGTAGAAATGGCTTCAGCAAACTTGAGGAGAATTGAGGTCTTTTGCTTATTGATAATTTTGAACGACTTTTCGACATCCACCTCATGACCCGTGTCGAGGAGATGGCTTGCGATGGCACTGTTTGAAGCATTTGTTCCCTTTAGATATAAGCTTTTTGGTACATGTTCAGAAAATTGTAGATATGCTCTTCTTCCTTCTGTCCTTCCAATGTAACTGCTCCCACAGATACATGTAAATTTGTATACACAGTTGGAGTTAACGTAAGAAGGATATATATCGATTTTTGATTTCATCAAAGTGCAAGTTGTTTGATAGACGGGAACGAGATTAGCTGCCGGATAGGCTATGGCTAGTGATGTACTCAGCCTTCTGTTGATCATCGCTGCAATGTTTTCACCTTTATAATCAAGCTGAAAGTAGACTGACATTTTACCCCCTGTAATTTGTTTTACATTTGTGACTTCAGATCTTCCATACTTGTTGATGAACCTTTGAGGGTATTCATACCCAAAAGATGATACCATTTTATTCTGCTAAAACTGTACTTCTTGCTTTTTTCAAATTCATTAAGGGGAATAAATGTATGAAATTACCCTCATTAAAATACATTTTCATTTGGTAAGTTAAGTGATAGATTTGGTAAGAATGATAGTCATATTCATGATAGTCATTCCTTGTGTCAGTATATCATCGTTAGTATATAGGTTGAGAATCTTGACATTGGTGAAAGCTTGTGCCATAACATCATCTTCCTGAATATTTCACTGCTAGCATCTCTGACTTGCAAAAGCGGGTTTGTAGAGATACGCTTTGCTGACGAATTCCACGATGCACAAAACCTGACTATAGGGTTTCCTACATGTCCTTCTAACTCTTTCTTTTAAGAACGAGAGCTGTAAATTGATATATCTTGAGTTTACTTACCATGGAAATAGTAAATTTGAATAAGGCATTAAGAAGAAAAATTTCTCGAGATGATATTTCGTAGTTGCTTTACAACTAACATGGTTAACCATAATAAAATACAATGCATGACGATTACTCAGTTATATTGTGGTGAGAGCAAGCTGCTAGCCAATTGGTAGACATTGATCTACGCTGATTGGTGGAAATTAATCTAGGCTGATTCAACAACCGATCACAGCTGACCTAGACGTCGACAAATATGATTCGCAGACAAGTGGCTCGCATTTCCGAGAAATATCGAAAACGAGAAAGCAGAAGACTGCGTTTGTTTGCAAACAACCAATCAGAAGACCGCCTTCTTTCTGCGGGCAGAGCCTTATTAATGTACGTAAAATACATATAAATACCTGTTGGTTTTCGTAATAAAACTGATCTGTTGCCTGGCCCTTGTCTTCTGTTGTTACAATATAAAATAGAAGTACATACCAATGACCAATCATATTTAAATAGGTCAAGTAGTCCATGGTAGGTGAAGCTTGAAGTCTACTGTTTTTTATACACACAGTTTGGGCTGTATGTGATTAGTCCAAAGTGCTTCCATCACCTTCAATAACCTTGAACTAGAGTTATGTGAAACAATTGTGAAACAGCCATTAATATTGATTTCGTGACATGACATTAATAAGTGCTTTGCAATGGATGATTATGGATTTCTATTCAGATTAACTACATTGGGATTTTCTGTATGTTTTAATAACCATTTTGGAACATGTTCTTTTCAACGACATTGGAACATTCTGTTGGTTCTACCTA